GGTATGCATCAGCTAACTTTGATTTAAAAAAAAGAAAAAAGAAAAAAAAGAAAAAAAAAAAAAAAAGCGGAGCGGGGGGGCGGGAGGGGAGTTTACAAATTACACCGCGATTAGCCGGGATCCTTCGGGGGGAGTGGGGGGAGGAAGGGGGGAAAGCGAGGGAGGAAGGGGGGCCCGCGGTTAAAGTCACTTCGGCAAAGTTTGCTCGGCGGCAGCCGTCGAAAACACAAAGTTTCTGGGCGAGTTGAGGGCAGGGGCGGTGCGGCTCGCCGTGCGGAGGGCAGCCCCGGCCGAGGCTCCCCGCGCCCGCCCGCCCGGCTCCGCTCCGCGAAGTAACGGTTCGAAAAGAAACGAGCGAGAAAGAGGCAAAACGTACGGGTTTTCTTCAGGCTAAGTTCTATAGCGCCATTCAATGGCTTCTCCGCTCCTTTCATTATTTTCTGCTTTTCCCCTGACAGCCCTGCTTGCAAACGTCACTGCTATGGATATTTAATTATACCGTATTTTTTTAATCGCGGTGGAAAACGCAGGCCCCGTTGCGATGATTAAAAAGAAATTAAAAAAAAAAAAAACAAAAGCGAACCGTACTCCGGACTGACTTTGGAGCCTCTTTGCCGGCTCGCGGGAGCCTCCCGGATCCTCCAAAACCCCCTTTTTACCTTTGTCTTTCTTACCTTCAAATTTAAAGCAAAGCGTAGAAGAAACTCCCGCACGTAAACGGAGCGTTGTAAAAGATTGTGTTCAATGAATAATGAAGCATGTCCACATGATTGACTTGATCATTTTCTGGTGCGGAGGGGGAAAAGTGTGGCGCGGGGCTGCCGCGGCCGCCCGCTCCGGGTAGCCCTCCCAACTGCTTCCAGCACATCCCGGGCAGAGAGCGCTTTATTTTAATCTGTCTCTTTTCAGAATCACCCCCTTCATTGATACTGATCACCCAACATCACAAGACATCCCCATCTCTCAGCGTGGACTCCCCCTATCTGGTAGGTGAAATGCATTGTACCATTAAAAAAGCACTCCATTGTCGTCTTGGCATAATTCACAGCAACTAGATAGGTCTTGCGGCATTTAGCTTTGATGAGCCAAAAGCTGAACCCTTGATATAATAATCTACAAAGAATGGTCTGCGATCGTCCATTTTTTCTCCCTGTCTGGCAACTAAGAAACCATTTAACACGGCGCGGCTTGGTCGTGACCTTGAGCCCGTGTAAACACCCCGAGGAGCCCGCGCCGCCCCGCAGCCCCCGGCCCGCGCAGCCCCCGCGCCGCGCAGCCCCCGCGCAGCGCCCGCGCCCGCGCCCCGCGCCTCCGCCCGCGCCCCGCGCCCCCCCGGGGGCTCCCCGAGGCGCCCCCCGTACCTGATCCGAAAGTGTGCAAAGTCTGCGGCTCCCGAAAAAAACTCCCGGGGAAAGCTGGGCGGACGGGGGACCGGAGCATCAGTCACCGCTCCGGCGGTTAAGAGAAGTAATCAGCGATAAAGTGACGTTGATCTGCACTGTAACCTTGTGGCGTATTTAATGTAAATAAGCCAGTTATGTTGCCAATCGCATGCATACAAACACATAAAGGTCCTCAGCGTTGCATTTTGATTCTTTCCATTAGAGCCGACTTTATTTACATACACTATTTAGGGGATCATGATAATTCTAAAACAATACTAGTGCCAAATGATTATGAAAATATGATTTTAATTAATCACGTAGTAGGCAAGGAAATTAGCATACGGTAATTAAACTTAGAGAAAAACGTCATGGAGGTTCTCTGCCTTATGGGTTCGGAATAATCATTAAACGATGGGTTTTCAGGACTTAATTATCAAACAAATAACTTTTTTAAAGCAACTTTACAAGGTTTATCCGCAGGGCAACGATTTAGTAAATAATATATAACCGACCAAACAAGGTGCAAATGTGACTGGTGAAATAGGTTGTGTTTCTACAAAGGGGGGGGGGTGGGGGGGTGGAGGGGGGGAAGAGAGAGAAGCTGAATAATGCAATTATGGATTCTGTGTCCCATAGTTGACAAAAGCATGGTGCCTCAATAGACTCTTTGTTATGGGATTATATAATGATTGTGGTGTAATTATGGGAAAAAAGATTTAGTAATAATAAAAAGTATCAAAATACACCAATGAGCAGCTTGTTTTAAAGAAAAGGCTCGCATGTGACATTAGGGGCATGTTAATAACAAAAAGCCAGGATCGGAAAGGGTTGACAAATAAAAAAGACTGTGATGCGCATGATTAAGAAGCGATGGAGACAGATTGATTATTCAAAATGCCGAGCCACAGGGACACTTAAAACATTGATTCAGGTAAGACTAGTTTCATCTTGACTGAAATGAGTTCCCTGAAGATGACTGGCATACATTTTAAATCAGTTTACTACATAAAAAGCATAACATCACAAGCTGAAACCTTCTGGTTAAAATAGGAGTCCAAGAAAAAGAGGGGAAAAAAAAAGTTTATGTCTGTGGCAATTCCCAGAGGGACTATGGAATTGCAGAGGAAGGGGTATAGATTAATTAGCCCTTCCTAAACACTGCACTTAAGCGTACCCATCTTTTATAATCCTTAGCCTCTTTTTCTGGGTTCCGTGGTCCAATCCCACGTGCAGGGCAGAGGGATGATATTAATAACTCTATAGGTACTGTAGGACTTTTTTTTTTTTTCCTGGGACTGCAGTAAATTAACTTTCTATAACAACTGAAAAATTAACAAAATATTTTCCAATTTTTTTTTAAAGGTTTTTTATAAATTTTTTTTCGGAGCTATTAAATTTTAAAAAAAAAAAAAAAAAAAAAAAAAAAAAAGAAGAAGAAGAAAAAAAGATTCCCATGCCTATACTAAAAAGTTTAGGAATTCACTCTGCATTTTCCAATTTGATGTGTCTGAAATTCTCTTTGAACAAATTCCAAAATACAAGTTTTTTCTATAGAAATTAGCATAGCAATCACATCAATAATATCACTATCTCTATGGGAATGATAACTGGAGCAGTGGGGGTGTTCTTTATTTCAATTCTTCGTGGATCAACTGATTATATTCTGTCTTCTTTTGAACTTGTTATTGTAAGTCAAGTGATTCTTTATAAGTGACAGCCCTGACAAAGAGACGAGGATGGGAAAGCAGGTCGAAAGGAAGTCGCCATATGGACTTTAAAAAAGGCACTTTTTAAACAAGATAATGGGGAAATGGATGTTGCCTTTTAACCCTGTCAAGGCTGAACATTATTAGCAGTCTCATAAAGGAATAAGCTATACCTTTTTGGTTTAATATCAGATTTCACCTTATGATTTCCGTGACCTAGGGCTTCACAGTTCAACGTAGGAGGTGACTGCACTTCAGACACAAGGGCCAAATCAGGCACCTGGAGTCCTGGCAGGCGTGAGATTTGAGACCATTGCACACATAAGTTACAGAAGAATGAAAGCTCAGGAAAACCCCATGGTTCTTTTTCCTGAGACAAAGATAAGAATATGGCTAGAGATAGGTGAAACAGCAACTGACAGCAGAGGAGCTTGAGACATCTCACTGGGATTTCCAGTTCCTTTGGTAAAAGTGCCTGATGCTCTTTTAATGACAGCGAGCAGAGTGAATACAAAGAGTGAGGATGAAGACTTTGACTCTGATGCTTGCAAAAATTAATATATTTATCCTCCTCTTTCTGTTCTGGAGGGGACAGAAGTTTCTCTCCAGAAATTTGTAAGTGGACAAAGATCAGGAACCATGTCCCAGGAAGCCAAACAGAAGTACTAAACCCTCCTTGAGCTGACAGCAGAGCCATGATGCGCTACTGGTGAATGTTCAGCCAATTTTTGTTTGTCCCCCATCAACAGATGATGACAACAGATCGTCCAACTCAACTCCACAGGAGGAACATGTCAACCAAAAGTTTCTCAAAGTCTGGAAGAGGAGGCTACTCTGCAAGAAATGGTGCTATCAGAGGAGGGCGTTTTAAAGAAGACCAACCAAAATTCTTTTTCCTGGGGCATCATAAGCATGGTTATTTGGGCTGGGATGGCCAGCCTTTCCCCAAAATGGAGCCTGATGAAATAATGTATGCTTGTGAGCTGAGTACATCCATAGAGACAAGAATTCCCAAAACTGTGTTGACTCAATGACATGCTTAGGCTTCTAATGCAATGTTGGATAGATGGGATTTAGAAGACCTCAGACATGAGCTGACGGAGACTTTGCTCCAATCTTTCTTGGAATCCCTAATGTCCTCAACACCACTAGCACTTCTGTAGTGCCCTCCAGTATTACTTTCTGCTCCTTTTGCATCCAAAGGAAGATATTTTTTCTACAAGTCTTTATGTCTTCAAGGTGCAGAGGCTCTACTGTCCATAGCTACTTCTCCAATTTCTCTGGTTGGTTTTATTCCCTTTTGTACCTCTTCTGTGCATAAGCAGGAATACTCTACGTGGTTTAACTTGGCAAAAACACTACAGGAAAAAGAACAAAGAGCAGAAGAAATGTACATTGCTTAACAGTGGGCATCTTCTCAGGCAGTGGAAGCTCTTGCATACAGATATGTCAAACCTTGAAAAGGAGCACAAGAGAAAATAAGAGCTGAGGGTTTTGGCCAGGCAACATTATCTTTCCTTGTGATTTCCACCTCTGTGAAATGACAGGGCTTCAGAAGCTCTTATTTCAGACAGACATAAATAAAAAGCAAGAACCCAAATCTCACAACTTTGATGAACCCAACAAAAAACTCAGGTGAAAGGAGAGGTGTGAGGAATATTTTATGAGGCTTTATACAGGGAAGTAACAAAATACAAATAGTCCTACAGTAATTTACACAGTGGGGTAAGGGAGAAACATTAGCTTTATATATTTAAATATTTATGAATTGTTTGCTTTATGAGGAAGGATTGAGGAATAATCCTGCCTTTGTTCTTAAAAAGTGTGATCAGCGTTTCCTTCCTAAAGAGAGGTGATAAGCAAGTGGGCATTCTTTTTACAAAGGCTGCAGAAGCCCACTGAAAGCTTACTGCCTTTAGAAGGGGGGTCTCTTTTCCGAGGAAGAGCAGAACATCAGGTCTTTAATATTGATAAGGAAAAGCTCACAAAAGGAACCATCTAATAGCAGGGACTTTACATAAGGAATTTCAGAAAACTTACAGTAAATGTTTCAGCAAACTCTGGAGCAGGTGGTGCGATCTACATGGCAGTCTGAGCCAGCGAAAACACAAGTCATCCAGCAAGAAAGTCGCTGAAGCATGGTTCAAAAAGACATAAATAAAACACTTTCACAGGAAAAAGGGAAACCCCTTCCAAAATGCTTGTTAAAAACATAGGAGTTTCCTGGGCAAAACCCCAGCAAACTGACAAGGTGGATGAAAGTTTTCCCACTTGTACAGACTGTGTAAAGAAGCTTTCTGGAAAAAGGACCTTGAAGATCCCAGTTTTCAAAACAGACCAGAGAGAGAACCCATCTGAGAACAAGCTGTCTATTTCCTAGGGACCACAGCCAAAATAAGTGTCACAAAACAGGTTTGATCAGCAAATATTATGTGTCATCATCATGGAGATTCAGAGGTAGAGGTGATCAGAATTTAAGGGGAAAAAAAAAACTAAATGAAAACAAACGACCTCATTTTTTAGCTAATACATTTGCATCCTCAACTGTAGCAGTCAACTGTCACCAAGCCAGATGTCCAAAAAGCTGGTGAGTCCACTAAAAGTATACACTGAGGCCAGCAATCTATTTTGGCCACTATTTGTCACAGTCATTGCAACATTTCATCAAATCACAGGCACTACGAAAGAATATAAGAGGAAGTATGAAGTGAACACCAGGAAGATGTGGAATGGAAGCAGTATCTTGTGCGGAGGCACAGATCTCTCTCATAATCCTAACGACACTGATATTTTCTTTCTTTCCAAAGCAAGGGGTGAAACTGGAAGGAAATGGTCCATCCAAGTATTACTGAGACTGCCAGGCTGGAGAC